CAATATGTGTTCAGCAACATCTCCCGAGTACAGTGATACAGGCACAGCACAAGCTGGCTATTCTGGACATGTGATCGCGAGGACCCCACGGTCACATGGTCCGGGGGAGAGCTGGATCGGGCAGAGGGGGTCTGCCTGGCCTCCCAGGCAGATCCCAGGTTCATGATCACAGGCGGGGGATCGCCAGCGAACAGGTAGGTGGGGATTTACTAATGCACGTACCAGGTACATCAGCTGTCGTTAACGGACATTTTTTGTTGGACGTACTTGGTACGTCCATGGTCGGGAAGAGGTTATAGTAAACTAGAACAGAAATGAAGAAAAGAAGAACCAATTCTAAAAGGGAAAGACAAGAAGAAACAATTGGGGAAAGGTAAGTTTGGCGTGACATTGCTGATTTTAATACTGAAAAATACTAACTGAAAAATAAACATACTGTTTATAAAATTGTCTATAGAATAGAGGTATAAAGGATGGGCTTTGAAACTGTAAGTCTATCCTACTCACCATAACTTCTGGAGTTCCAAACAAGGTTGCCCCAGGAGTGCCCAGCAGCAGATTTGAACCTGGGTTTGCAATCCTGGGGCTGCTATATTACCTTTGAGCCACCATTCAGCTTTAGTAATGCCAGTATCTAGCTCTGTCTTGTATCCAGCATTGGGGGCTGGACGTTATTCTGTGGCTGCTCCAACATTCTCAAGCACACCTGAAGCTGATAGTCTCATTATCCAGGTATAAAACACTGCCTCTCCCAGAAGGCAGTGTCCGTTCCTTGACTCTGGTTCCATATTGCTGTTTGTGTTCAAGTGTGCTCCTGTTGATTCCTGACCTTGGCTTGTTACTCCGTTTATCCTCTGACCTCTGGATTACCCACAACGATTCTCCTGCTTTATTCGTTCCTGTACTGCGACTTGGAGAATTATCCTGCACAACCCTTGTGCACCGACTCACAGGCCAGGTGAATTCTTACCTGACCACCTCAGCCTGTGTTTACTTGCAAGGGTGAGCATATATCTCTGCCTGCCGGACTCCAAACTCAGGTAAGCCCTGACAGCTACATCATAAATAAAACCTTAAAATTGTACCTGCCACTGACCACAAGATATAGTTGAACAAGTACCCCCACTAACTCTCTCCAATGAATAACCTTCTGTAATCAATAAGTAGATAAGGCTTAAAGGACCGCTTAGGTCACCAAGGCCACTTCATCTCACTGAAGTGGACTGGGTGCAGTGGTCATACCATTTAACCATTGAAGGTAAAACTTTGTCATTTAACTTATTATAGCTGTGACAGACCACCCTGTCTCTGGATTGTTGAACTTTACTTTTCTTCGCCTGTTGGGTCAATACATGGGATTGACCAAACAGATTATACTTGTTTGGTTCATATACAGAATGAACTCCCGAACTGGTAGACCACCCATATGCTACGTGTGCTGCTCGTTGACCCTTTTAACCCTGTCAACACCTCGTTAACCATAATAACCTCAACATTCTAAATGGTCAGCAGGGTGGTCGCCGTTCATATGTGGGGGTAGCCATCTTGAGCCACGAATGCATACAGCGATGTTTGGTCATCGAGTGTGTGGAACTTAAATTGGATACTCGACCGCCCGAACAGCGCTGAAACGTCCACCACCACCTACGTTTGGCTATTTTCGACTTGAAAGCACATTGTTCAGTGGGAGCGCACTCCCAAACAAGAGACACGGACTTAGCATACTCACGAATGGTTATGTTCATTATTTTGTTGTATTTTGCACCTCTGAAACAGACCGACTGCACATCCCAATTTCATGGAACGATTTTGGGCAGGCGCCTCGTGTGCGGTCGGTCGAAACTTTACCCCGATGGTGTTTCGGCTGCGTTCGCCAGGTCTGAGCGCTGTCGGGATATGTTGGGCGCTCAGATCCATGCTATCTGGTGATATAGGATTTGAGGGGGTATCTGTAAAATTTATGTTTTGGGGTGTAATAAATGTATGCTCTGGATCTGAGAGATAATGTAATTTAGATGTGCACTTTACAGTAGTCTCCTCTCAGGTCCACCTGGGAAATGCCCCTGTAATATAATTTGGGAAACCCCTTGCATGGGGAGTTACATAAAAGGCTGTGTGTGGCTCCCAATAAACGAGTTCATCCCCAGCATAGAGCCTCATTTCATGTGTGTGGGAGAAAGCTTTACCAGCTATATCACTAGCTCTGTTAAGAGATATACCTGCTCTACTCATTTTGGATAACTGCCCTACTACAGCATTACTCACACTAGGGGGAAAAGAACATCTCTGGCGGTCGAAACCCCTCTTCCTATCATGGTGGCCGCCACATTAACGAACTATTTTTCATCCATTGTTAGTAATACAAAATGCTCTACTTGGCCTGTTTGAAATTAAATTTTTACTTTGTTTTTTTTTTCTCACATTTTGTTGTGTAAACTAAACAACATGGTACAGTCATTTTCAATAAAAAGTCCACTAAACTAAGTATGTTCTCTCTATTCTGTACACTGATTCTTTTTAAGTCATAGTTTTATTAAAAATAAAATGTGGATATATCATTAAAAGTACAATACAAATGTCTGATCTCCTCCTACACGGTAGGTTCCACAAACAATAATATCTATTTGCAGTAACAAATGGCAGAATTAACTCACTTCACTTCATTGTCTTACTAGCATTATCAACAACAAGTCTTGAAAGAAACCAGTCATTTTCACAATCCACTAGTGGGACACAGAAAGACCTGTTTTGACAGCATTATTGAATTAGCACATTTGGCAGACAGATTTCTATATCAAGCATTTCATATAAAACTGCTTAGGGCTTTTAGACATCTCTTATGGTTGAGTCACAGAAACATGAAATATCAAAGACACCTGACACCTCTAAACAAATAAAATTCTATTTATTGGATTCAGTGACGGTATTCAGCATTGAGGATGCTCATCAAGAATAGCCATTAATTACAGACATACCAGGAGTTGTTTCTGTGATAAAGTAATATTAGTGGGGAGGAGGAGATACAAGTTATTAGTAACATTTTACTGTAACAGAAAACAAATATATGATAGACTGGAAAGTTGTTTCTTGTATAAAAAATATAAGTGCTTTATATTTTTCCCTTCTAAAATATTTACATGAATTTTACATAACTTATTTTTGCTGAATCTTTCGCAATTTTGTTTTACTAGTCACATGATTATACACTGTTACAGTTTATAACTTAACTATATTATTATTATTATTAATAAAACGCCAAAAAAATGTCAGAGCGCTGTACAATAGGTGGGCCAACAGACATGCATTTGCAACAAGACAAACTAGACACACAGGAAGAGAGGGCCCTGCTCAAATGAGCTTACATTCTAGAGATATATATTAACTCTAATCAAATTTTTCAAAATTAGCCCTTCTCACCATCCTTGGGGATCATGCAGTGGAAAAGTTGCTTTAAAGGAAAATTGTAAAGAGAGGTAGAACATACAATTTGGCACAATATATTTTCAGTACTTTGGTTCTTGGATTAGAGGAATTCTACAATAATCTGTACTGATAGTCAAAAAGTCTAAATATGGCTTGAGAGGTAGTGAAATATGAATTGTGCAAGGCAGGCAAAGTAGTATTGTTTGGTAGACTAATGGAGTTTATTTTGGAGCCTCCTGCAATGGTATAGGTTCAGAATTGGGTTATTTCTAAACATAGCACCCCATGTTCAGTGTAATTTTTTCTAGCATACTTTTTCTAGCAGATTATAATAATTTGTTAATGCTGAGATAACATGATGGATATAGTTAATTATAGCATCTTCATTGTTTGCAGCCAATTAGTGACAACTGGTCAATAGAGGAGAAAAGCATCCCAGTGTGAAACTAGTGCTTATGGCTAACCACTGTCACTTTTAACCCCTTAAGGACCAAACTTCTGTAATAAAAGGGAATCATGACATGTCACACATGTCATGTGTCCTTAAGGGGTTAAAAGCACCAACGTACAGTTTAAAAGGGTTTTTGTTTTGGGTTTTTTAAGTGTTCGTACAGTGTGTTGTCTAATTAGAACATTTTCAAACAATGTTTATTTTCCAAATTTTCATTTACACAATACACAATCGTTCATATCCCAAATTTATTGTAATAAGAAAAACACACCTGCAGTTATCAATGGTGCATCCTAATCCCAAAAAGAAATTGAGGAAGGGTAGGGGAAGATATTGCATTCCCAACCGTCCGTCAGCACTAGTGCCATGGCCTGTAGGAGTATAAATGCCTCTTCCTCAGTTATGAGAACTTCGGAAACCTTCTCCACTGCTGCTTCCACTACCGCCGCCACAACCGCTATTGGTAGTATTCAGCATCAAGATATTGTGATTAGAAGCATGTCCTTTATGTCAGATTCACCACCCTGGAGGCGATTGCATTTTTCTCTTCCTATTCATGCTGCAATACCTTGCGCTGCCACTTCCACTGGCACTGCATTTCCTTCTACCTTAGATGGTTCAAGAATTACAACATCTGTAAGAAATAATATAACACTGCTTTGAAAAGGTTACTCTAGAAAAGCAACAACATTTTTAAAATTGTGTACCTCTTTAGCCAGTTTCAAGAGGAAACAAAATATAAGTAGGAAAGATAAAGCTGCGCCAATAGAAAAAAAGTTGAAAAAACAAAAATGTTTTATATATATAAAGTCCACTCAGGGACTTTCCTCAGGATCAAACTGATCCTGAGTTGACTTGAGTTTGACTTTGATCCTGAGGAAAGTCCCTGAGTGGACTGAAACGTTGATCTAGATGTTGGAATAAAGGAAACCTTTTCTCAGGAAGAACGTGAGTGCAGCCCATTTGTTATATTGCTTTGGATGTGAAAGCCCTAGGACTGGCACCTGGCATTTTATATATACAAGGACTTTTTTAGCCTGAGTACAAGGACTGACAACTTTTTTGTTTATATATATATAAACAAAAAAGTTGTCAGTCCTTGTACTCAGGCTAAAAAAGTCCTTGTATATATATATATAAACAAAAAAGTTGTCAGTCCTTGTACTCAGGCTAAAAAAGTCCTTGTATATATAAAATGCCAGGTGCCAGTCCTAGGGCTTTCACATCCTTTTTTAGCCTGAGTACAAGGACTGACAACTTTTTTGTTTATATATATATATATATAAACAAAAAAGTTGTCAGTCCTTGTACTCAGGCTAAAAAAGTCCTTGTATATATAAAATGCCAGGTGCCAGTATATATATATATATATATATGTGAGAGGGGGTGATCCGGCCTATATAAACTCAGACTTACCTCCATACCAGGCCGACGACGTTTGGTCATGTCAGCTTCCGGTTTCCATGGACAGTCTACCTCGTGGTCTTCTCTCCTCAGGCCTACCAGTATTTCTTCCAGGTTTCTAATGTTTTCTCGACCCAGGCAAAATGCTCCCGTCGGACGCATCCACTGGGACACCCTTTTCCGTCGCGTTCCCGGTACTTCTGCCGCACTTCCAGGTCGGCCGTCAGGCACCCGGAAACAGGGAGTAAAAATGACACGAATTACGGTCATACTCACGAACCGCACTAACTCATACGAACACCTCTATACACGAACTGCTATTTTACGTACGGTTATCTTTACATACAGCTTTTATACGAACAACTATGCATACGAATGGCTATTTACACGAATAACTATTCATACAAACGGCTATTCATGGGAACGGCTTTTTATACGGGCAGCTATTCATACAAATGGCTAGTCATTCAAATGGCTATTCATACGAACACTTATTCATACGAGCGGCTATTCATAAGAACAGCTTTACGAACGGCTAATACACATTCGGCTAATACACATACGGCTAAAAGTCACATTAGACTAAACTCACGAATCGCTAATACACATTAGGGAATCAGACAAACGCTTAGCTCTCATGGACGAGCACATGAAATGAACAACCATACGAAACATGACTCAAACACTGAGTCTTATGGCTACACCGCCATCTACCGGCGGAGATCATTCATGACAGCCACAAGTGTTAAGCTTTACTAGGCCTACAACAGGCACAAATTATTTTATGCTGATTGTTGAGTGATGCAGAAAGGTCATATTATGGTTAGCTTCTTAGTACTTGGTTGGTGGGAAATGTTATAACACTTTAACTGTGGTAATTGATGTTTCCCATACACTTTGCACATGTTATTTTTCCTTCCAGATTGTGACCTTTTCTCCCTGACTACTCACGCAAAGTTATAATTTCAAATCCTATAAACCATGGTACTTTATCAAAACACATTTTAACATAGGACCCCTTATTTGATAGCAGCTTCACAAGTCTTGCATCCATTGAACTTGTGAGTTTTTGGACAGTTTCTGCTTGAATTTGTTTGCAAGATGTCAGAATAGCCTCCCAGAGCTGCTGTTTGGATGTAAACTGCCTCCCACCCTCATAGATCTTTTGCTTGAGGATCCTCCAAAGGTTCTCAATAGGATTGAGGTCAGGGGAGGATGGAGGCCACACAATTACTTTCTCTCCTTTTATCCCCATAGCAGCCATTGATGCAGAGGTATTCTTTGCAGCATGAGATGGTGTATTGTCATGCATGAAGATGATTTTATTACGGAAAGCATAGTTCTTCCTTCTGTACCGGGGAAGAAAGTGGTCAGTCAGAAACTCCACATACTTTGCACAGGTTATCTTTACACCTTCGGGGACCCTAAAGGGGCTGACCAGCTCTCTTCCCATGATTCCGGCCCAAAACATGACTCCACCACAGCCTTGCTGACGTCGCAGCCTTGTTGGAACAGGGTGGCCGTCCACCAACCATCCACTACTCCACCCATCTGGACCATCCAGGGTTGCACAGCACTCATCAGTGAACAGGACTGTTTGAAAATTAGTCTTCATGTATTTTTCTGCCCAATGCGGCCGTTTCTGCTTGTGAGCATTAGTTAGTGGTGGCCGAATAGAAGGTTTATGCACAGTTGCAAGACTCTGGAGGACTCTACACCTTGATGTCCGAGGGACTCCAGAGGCACCAGCAGCTTCAAATATCTGTTTGCTGCTATGTAATGGTATTTTAGCAGCTGCTCTCTTGATCCGATGCATGGATCTGGCAGAAATCTTCCTCAATGTGCCTATATCTGCACGAACCCGTCTGTGCTCTGAATCAGCCACAAATCTCTTAATAGTGCGATGATCACGCTTAAGTTTTCATGAAATATCTAATGTTTTCATACCTCGTCATAGGCATTGAACTATTTCACTCTTTTCGGCAGCAGAGAGATCCTTTTTCATCCCCATATTACATGAAAATTGTGCTCTGCTTAATAATGTGGAACACCCTCCTTTAATAGTTTTTCCTTAAATTGGGCTCATCTGGCAATCTAATTATCACAGGTGTCCCAGATTGTTTTCAGTGATCAAAAGAGCCCTGAGACACAATGACATCCATGAGTTAAACTGAAAAAAATATTTATTCTTTGTGACACTTAAATATAATTTGCATAATAATTTGGAACAGGGTGTAGCTTTTGATTTCGGTAAATATGCTGCAAACACAACAAATGACAATTTTCAGTTCTTTACAACCTATAAAGTGTTTTGAAACTTACTTTGCGTAATAATTTGGAACAGTGCATTGTAAGTTTTTTATGTTTAAAAAAAATACTGTTATCATTAGGAGGTTTGTTCAAAGAAATTTGAATTGTACTTTTAATAGTTGATAACATGAGAATTATGCTGACTGTTATTTACATAAATTATTTAGGTAAATGAGAACAATATAATTTGCATAATAATTTGGAACAGGGTGTATGTAGCCGGCAACAAAGCAGGGAGACTACTGGCTAGGCGACTGAAACGAAAATACCTTCAGACTAAATTTCCCTATATTGTTTCCAAGACAGGGGACAAATTATTTAACCCTCAGGATATAGTGGAAGAACTGGCCTCCAACTATGCCACTCTATATCAGCTTGACAGAGACACTGACACACACCAACCCTCCAACGCTGAAATCCATTCCTTCTTGGACCAAGCATCCCTTCCAACTGTATCCATTGAGCAAATTGAGTCACTAGAGGCCCCCTTTACTGGATAGGAAGTACCAAAACACAAATCACCAGGCACAGCCGGGCTATCAAATTATTTTTATCATAAATTTGAAGTTATCCTAACTCCCCATTTCACCAAACTCTTTACCAAACTGAAAGGGGATGTCCCTAAAGAGATGCTGGAAGCCTTCATAGTTGCGCTTCCCAAACTCAAGAAACCAATGACCATATGCACCAACTTAAGACTGATCTCCCTACTCAACACCAATATTAAACTTTACGTCATACTGCTAGCTAACAGAATCAAACCACTCTTCCCTGCATTAATATCGGAGGAACAAGTAGGATTTGTCCCAGGTAGACAGGTAGGCGACAACACCAGGCACTTTGTAAACCTCATAGAGTGGGCACATTCGTCACATCAAACGGGGATCATATTAGTGCTGGACACTGAAAAAGCATTTAATCGCTTGCATTGGCGGTACATGCAATTGACACTCACCAAAATGGGGTTCCCTCCGACATTGCTAAAGTGTTCATTTCAGGATTCCTTTCATCGTCCTTCCACATTTATAACGGCACCCACCAGGGTTGCCCCCTTTCCCCGTTTATTTTCATTCTATGCCTGGAGCCTCTAATATAACACATTAAGCACAACTCACAGATCCAAGGCCTAATTACCCCTAACGTCGAGCAGAAACTAACACTGTTTGCTGACGACATACTCCTGATCCTAACAAACCTGACACAATCTATCCCAAACCTGCTTACTCTGCTGACCTGATCCGGCGACGTGTCATACTATAACAATAACACTGCAAAGACTCAGGCATTACCTATCCAATTGCACTGCAAAGACTCAGGCATTACCTATCCAATTGCAGCACACACTCACAACACATTTGACTGGCGCAAGACGTCACTCTCATACTTGGGAATTGAGTTGAGAAAGTCGACACACCTTCTACCACAGGAAAATCACCTACCCCTGCTTCATAAAATCAAAACTCAAATTACTGAATGGGAAGACTTAGAGATGTCGTGGCTAGGACGCATCAACTCTATAAAAAAAATTATGATATTGCCGCATGTACTATACCTGTTCTGGACCATTCCTATAGCATTATCCTCCCAATCGCTTAAAAGGTTCCAAACAACCATTGCCCATGTCTGGAAGAGGAAACCACCTAGATTATCGACTAAAAAAACTAGGCTTCCACCATAACAAAGGAGGTCTAGGGCTGCCAGGTATCCGATATTACTACCGAGCATCAATGTTGGCGCAGGGCATTAGGTCACTGCGGTCCTCTGCTAAGGTACCGGCTCCTATATGGTTAGCCTTTGAGAATGCCTGCCTACACCCAGTTAATTTGGCACATGCCTTGTGGACCAGCGCACCTAATCCCATAGGGACACCTGTTTTAACGGGCACAAAAGCTTTTTTGAACTTCTGGGGATCTTGGGCTCTGGTGTTGTTTGACCCTCAATCACTGCTCATGATGGCTCCCCTCGCAGCACTGCTGGCCCACTCCACTGACCTCGCACTACACTCATGGTCGGAAAGGGGCATTTGTAGAATAGGAGATCTCTACAGCCAGAATGCCTTAAAGCTATTCCCAACTCTACTGGACAAATTTTCCCTGCCCCCTAGGGACCTCTTCCTTTATTTAAGCATCCAAGAGCCTTTCCCTATGGGAAGCCTATTGTAAAATCACAATGCGCTGGTACTTGGTTATCTATAAGTTCTCTAAGATCTATAACGCTGTTTCCCCAGTGTGCTGGAGATGTGGGACGGCATCGGGTACAATGATGCATGTATTCTGGGACTGCCCAAGTCTTAAGACATTTTGGTCAAACATACAGAAGCTCATTAGCACCATTACCACCCTTTTACTCCCGCTGGCGCCCGATGGTTACCTACTCCATATCTTGCCCACAATGGGCCACAACCAACACTCCACAGTAATTATCAATTTGTTGATGGTGGCCAAGATAGCCAAAGCCTCCCACTGGAAGAGCGATGTGATCCCTTCCCCGGAGGAGGTTTCGAAGAGAGTAGACAATGTATATTCTTGTATGAGCAGATGTCCTTTAAGGTGCGAGGAGGGGGCGACAAAACACTACGCACAACAGTGGGGCAGCTGGCTAAAATTCTGTG